GGGCGGTGGTGGCGGTGGCGATGGTGCTGATGGTGGTAGTGGCGCACGCCTCGCGCGTAAGCCGCGCGCTCATACCTACAAGCGACCCAATCTTCAAACGTTGTCCTTGCTGCCCCTCCCCCTCCCCCTCCTCCTCCTCCTCCTCTTTCTCACCCTCACTCTCTGTCCTTCCTCTTTTCATCTCTCAGCCTCTCGAGCTATCTCTCTCCAATTCTCTCTCGCGGTTTCGTTCGTTCGCACGCCCACGTCGTTCCACCTACAACGGCGGTATCTCTACCCAGCTTTATCCCTCGGTCCTTAATCATCCAAGCGCACAGGGTAGCGCTGAATGCCCGAAGAAATCGTCATTTCTTCCTGTTTCGATAAGGGGGCACGGACGTGATCCTCACCGCTCAGTCCCTCCTGCTGGATCGTAGATCAAGACCGAGCAAACTCCAGTTAACTATTATCGAGAGAATGTTCGCGCAAGAGTGTGTTTCGTGCACCACCCGCTCTGTGACATGTGATACGCTGCTAAAAGTTTCCTGTCACGCTGTGATCCGATTCTCGAGACGAAAGTCTCAAATGTTGACGATGTAATCTGTGAAATTTCTTTGCGAATTGACTTCTTTCCTTTTGTTGAGGTAATCCAACGGGATAACTGAAAGTATCCATATCACACACGTAATCAAACAATAACGACATTAATTTTAATATTTTAATCGTTACTCCATAACAACATTTTTTATTATAAAAGAGATAATCTAACAATTTGACACTTTTGTAAATTACGCATATATAAAAACACTTTTTTGTTCATAAAAAATAAAAATGTTTTCAAAAGAGAATATGCGGAAAATATATAGATAAGAATTGTAATGAAAAAGAAACATTTTAATTTAAGTATGTGATTACCGAGGTGTTTACCCAAATATTGTGTAATTAAATACTCTAAGCTGATATAACTTTAATTTTAACATGCATAATTTTTCTACTAGTAGTTAATTGAATTATAAGTATAACATGAAAAGATGACAAGTAAAAATATTAATTTTGTAATTGTTGATATGCGTATTGTTGATATCCGTATTCGTTGTGTTCATTGTTTCAGACATATTATAAATCTGATACAGAATTAATTTAAGGAGGCCACACTAAATATTAAACACAAAAGTTTACACACACATACACACATATATTCTACAAACACAAAATAATTTTATTGTAACTCTGTCTTATGGTATATTTGATTTATATACTCTAACTGATATTTGATAACTACTTTTTAATTGTTGCATATC